TTTTTTGTATTTTGCTTGTTTGGTTCAAAACGAGAAAATGACTCGTAACTTTATAGAAAATAGCAAGAATTTCTATAATTTGTAGAAATTAAACTAAACACCCCCTAAATTTATAGAAAAATGTCAACTTTATAAAAAAATATCAATATAGTATCAGATTTCTGAGTGAATTCCGCCTATTTTGAGACAAAATTAATTTCTGTAAATTTGATCTTTTTCTATGCTTTACAGAAAACATTTCTGTAAATTTTTTAAACCAAATATAATTTACGAAAATCTACAGAAAAATTTTAATTACAGAATTATCATTGTCAGGCATTTTAAGAAAACATTTCTATAAAATAGTGCAACCAAACCCCTCCTAAACTAATTTCACAAAGAGATTCAATTACATAAGTCAAGAAGAACGAAAATGACAAAAATTAAAATTGAAATAAAAAGGAAATAAATTAAAAAAAGAAAAAAAAACTTGGGCTACTCCGGTCGTCACGTTACTATTACCGACACTGTGTACCGCCGGGGCACGGTACGACGCACCCGCACTCGTCATCGCAAATTTTCACGTCCGTCATCGGTCGCTCCTTTTGTAAATGAACACTGGGGGTCGTGACCCTTTTAAAGTGGTCAGGCGGAACACAAGACTGCCATGTGTCCTGGCACGTGTGCATACGTTCACGCACGCGTCCCTCTAACCGCGTATGAGCTGAAATAGAGGACAGATATCAAATCGCCGTATGGGTACAAAGTTTTGGGCTTTCTGGCCCACTTTTCAGACATTTGGGCCAAATCAATTTGGGCTTTACATGAGTAACTAAACTGTAGGCCTCATTTGCATTGCTTTCGGCCTGGAGGCTGTAACATTGTATCTCGTAAGAATAAAAATGATTAAAAGAAATTAAATATAGTAATTTAAGCTGAAATATAATTTGCTTTAGGAATTAAGTCAATAAATAAATTCAAAAGACATCAACGGAGCGTCCCTTTATCCATTCGTATACAATATATCAAACATGTTCTATTTTCAAATTACATACGATAAATATCTGCACTAACAATGTGGCCATAGTTCTAAACCTCCTTTTAGGGGCAAAAAAGGTTAGGAAAAATTGCTTCTAGGCCTCAAATTTATATTTTCAATGTGCCCCAGTCCCTCCTACTTTTTTTAATGTTCTTTAGCTCCTTCTTTTTGAAAAAAATGTATCCAAGCCCCTCCATCACTCCTCCATCATGATTCCAGCTCATTTCAGCAGTTGATTAGACATGCCAGCTCATGATTAGACATATTAGCTGACTTAAATCCCGAATTTACCCTCCTCTTTTTCATGTCAGTGGATGTTAACTCTTTTCTGTAACATGTTAACTCTTTTTTGTAACATGTTAACTCTTTTCTGTAAAATGTTAACTTTTTTCTGTAACATGTTAAACTCTTACAGATAACATGTTAATTCTTACAGCTAACATGTTAACTCTTTACAGCTAACATGTTAACTCTAACAGCTAATATGTTAACTCTTACAGCTAACATGTTATCTGTAAGAGTTAACATGTTACAGAAAAGAGTTAACATTTTACAGAAAAGAGTTAACATGTTACAGAAAACAGTTAACATGTTACAGAAAAGAATTAATATTAATGTGCCCATGCGAAGTTCCTCGGGACGACGCCGGCGACGGAGCGGGGAAGGGGGCAAAGGGGGACCGAAGGAGGAGGAGGAAGGTGCAGCGGGGGAGGGAGACGGGGGAGGTGCAGCGGGGTAGGGAGGCAGTGAGGAGGAGGAGGGAGCTGTAGGGGGAGGGAGGC